TTTTCTTTTTTTTTCTCGAAAGCTGTCCTCAATGGGGGACAGCTATATATTTGTTCTCTTTTTTTTTTTTTTTTTTTTTTTTTTCCCTCTCTCTCAATTGGCCTTCAAACCATCCACTCCGACTCCCAAGACCAGAGAACGGACCCTCGGGGCACTACTACCTTCTTCCCCCGAGCGTAACGCATATGCGTTTATCAAAGAATGCAATGGGAAATAACCCTAATTTTCGAATACAAGGCATGTGCATTCTATTCTGATTTGTTGAAAACTCGAATACAACACATATGCGTTATGTTTGGGGGAAGAAGGTAGCCAGCTCTACTCTGTGCGGGCAGTAGCACCGGAGTAGCGCCCAAGCTCCTCACCCGTACCCTCTTTGAACGCCCGGTCATTATTGACCGTCTTTGTTGCAACTTTCGCTTTTTTCAGTCTACATACAGCGATAATGTAATGACCGGGCGTTCTATTCGGATGAAGACGGTAGTGCTACCAACTGAGCTATGGTAGGCACTTGTGTGCTCTACCAACTTGCATGGGTGGGCTTACCCAGGCCAAATGGCTGGCATGGCCAGCCGACAGGAGGCCCGCGGCGTTTCGTTTTTTTTTTTTAGTTTCTGGTGCGCAGGGCGTTTTCAGACTCGGCCTGTGGGTGCCAGCATGAAACCCCCACCAAGTTTTGCTTGTGGCATGAAAAACTTTCTGCCAGGCTGGGTCCGTGTACTTGCGGTTTAGAAAAGCAGTAGATATCCCAGCCATTTTCCTCTGACGCGGCTGCAAGGCTGCAAGAGGGCCACGTCTGGCAGAAAGGATCACCAGCCTGCCATAAATTTGAGGATATACTTTTCTCCGGTCAGGTCGAGCGGCAGTGGTCGGGGCCGTCACTAAGCGGCCATGCTGTGCCTCTACTGCCAGCCGCGTGTCTGGAGTGTATTTTCCGGCTGTGACAGACCTTTCTTTGTTTTGTGGGTATGTTGCTGGCTTGTGATGGGGTGTGAACCAACAGTCTGTAGAGTTTTCCATCTGGTGTGGGTGAGTGATAGTCTGCGTTGACTTCTGCCACGGGTACCTTGAGGGCAGTGGTTGTTGCCCACCTCAGGGTATCAGTTGTTGGGCAGTCGTTGATACTTAACCACAGCCGGGGTTAAGGTGGATTATCACTTATAGTGTAATCAGTTAGGGGATTCTGCAGACTGTTGAGGGTTCAGCCTCCTGATGAGTCGGTGAAACTCCAACGAAACAGTTTGCCACAGCCCCTCGTTTGTTGTCCTCTTCTCCCTCTCTGCCTACGGTTTACCGGGCAGCTCTGTTTGACTATATATATATGCAGGGTCACCAGCCGTGTTTTATTATTATTTAGCAAAAAAATTGCAAACATTCAAATGAAAAGAAGAAGAATGCAAAACGGCGTGCGAGAAATGAAAACAAAAGAAAAAGAAAGGCCGGCGTATCGGATGGCTCACCTCCAAGATTATCATCCGCATCAACGCCAGCCGTGTGCCCCGCCCCTGGGGCGTGCACCCGCGTTTATTGGCACGCTGTGAACATTTCTGTACGCACGCCCCTCTGATGAAAAAAGATAGCGTCTTTAAAAAAAAACTCGAAAACTTTGTTGTTTCAGTAGATTTTGAGGACGTTTCGAGTAGGTTTTCAGTATACATAGGGCGTCGCCGCACCGGAAACGAAAAACGAAACGAGTGCATCTTCCTGCAGAAAATGGCCAGGTTCATCGGTTTGCTATAAATAGTAATGAGTGTATTTTGCCCCCTTTCGAGGGCAGATGCACTCGTTTCGTTTTCGTTTCGTGCGGCAAGACCCATAAAAAGCTTGGAATTTTAGTAGTGTGACGATGACTTTCTCAGCGGAGCCCCCCCTTGACCTGGGCCGGTGATGCCTTGATCATTGGGGATCCCCTAACAGTTGTTTTGTAAGGGGACACGGGGCCGTTTCCTGGTTTGTAAATAAAAGAGAATATCAAAAAAATAAAAATAAAACATTTACATGCACGATTTGTTTTTTTTTTTAAATGTGCATATTTTCAGGTACAGGAAGCTCTCAGGGAGGCAGGCCTGGAGTCTAGCAACCTTATTGTGGGCTTTGACTTCACGAAGAGCAATGAATGGACAGGTGAGTACGGATGGAACATTATTCCTAAAAAAAGAAAAAGAAAACTGTTCTTTGCTAGGCTACCATAGCGGCCTGGGACCACTTGCCCAGCCAGACCAAAAAAAAAAAAAAAGAAAAAAAAAATAAATTGTATTTCAAATTTGGTAAATACTATATATCGTCAAATAGAATATATATATATATTTTAATTAATTTATTATTATTATTATTTTTTATAGACGACGACGAAGAAGAAGAAGATCAATCATTTATTTACATGAAAGCAGGGAAACGGGCCCGGCGTCCCTTACAAAAAGTCGCCGCAGCACTGAGCTGATCGAGGCTCTCCGGCCAGGCAAAGCTCATGCCACGACTGTGTCAAGAGGCAAAAATCCTTCTTCTCTTGATCTCTTCTACCAATTGTTCAGATTATTCTAACTTCGCTGGCATCATTCAACAGTAACCTATCCTGTCCAACTATTGAGGAATTAAGAACAGTTCCCACAAGTCCCCAACGTACTGTACTCTAACTTTGGTGCCGATATCCTATAATAGCCTGAACTATCCTGCTAACAGAAATCATGAACAGTCCTACAAATCTGCCAACCACTATGTTTCAATCACGAGAAACCCCCCAAAAAAAGCAGACAAGGCACACGTCCCGGGGGGCAATCCACTGTTACGAGTCCCGCAAAGGCACCCCAACGTGTAGTAAAGAACTGCATTGCCTTTTTAGTAAACCCCTTCCGCTGCACCCTGTACTCCCAGTCGGCCTGTATCATTTGTTTTATGCCATATTTGACCTCTGATAGGACCATTGGCGGCGTCAGCCTGTCTCCACGTCTGGTCACTGAGTTCCTTAGTGTCCAAGTGTCCAAAGAGTCCACAGTATTGCACCCCTGAGTGTCTCTTCCGCGTTTGTGAAACATTGTGGGAAAGGTGATCGCGTCGCTGCAGTTCCCATTAACAGGAATTGATCTGTCCATCTGGATGTGTTTCCGGGGACAGGGATTTCCGAATGCCTCCACCAGTCCCAAAAGGTCGAGCAATGTCGCAATACAACACAAAATGTTGCAGGTCTTCCATCCGAGTCCCGGGGCATATCTGGCATTCCGCCCGTGCCTTAGCAGTGTGTTTTGCGCACCAAACCTATGCGACCCTGAGACAGAAGTTGTTCAGGTTATTTTTCTGCATAACATAGTGCAATAACCTGTTCATTATGCCTCACGGAATGGCTAAGGGGCCCACAGGCCTCGACCACGGTCTCTGGCCGTGAGGTTGAAGGGGCAAAAGGCCCCTCCGAAATGGCCCAGAGCCTGAGCGCCCGACAGTTGACTTCAGTCAACTGCGTGAGGCCCAACAGTCAAAGTCAATACGGACCCAGCCCAGGCTGCCGGTCAGACACACTCACTTGTTTGTATGCAGGTACCAAGACAGCATTAGGACCAAGTGGAAGTCTGCAACTGTACGCAGTCCAGGCCCTCGGCTGTGAGTCAATCTGAGCCACCGTGGGTGGGAGACCTGAGGCCGGTCAGCTTCGTCAAACATTACGTAAGGCCAGGCCTCCAGGTAGTCAACATTCAGTCTTGCTATGCTGCCTTGACGCTGGCTTGACGCTGGCTGTGCGCTGGCACGGTGGATGACGACGCGGACTGAGGCAGCATGCTGGCGCCTTCTCTGCTGAGCGCCAGCATCTGCTGATGTGGGGCATGCCACCTGCCTTCATCGCTGATGTGGCATTGGCCACGCTGTCTACACTGGTGATTGGTCGCAACAAGAAGGGAGATCGGAATCTGTGGATGATTGAGCGGGATCTGGATACTTACCTGAGGTTGACGTCGATACTGTGCGCTGCTGATTGTCTCCATCATCTTCACGGGAACAGTGCCACATGGCACCTCGATGTGATCAGGAACTGTTAGGCTCGTTACTGGAAATTGTTTGATGACGTGGAGGCGAGGGGATCCCGGAGAAGGAGTGGGAAATGTTGGGCTATCCTCTTGATGGTCATTGATGCTACTATCTTTTCCACCCTCTAAACTGTCTATTCCCCCTCACCTCTATTCTTCCTCTGGAAACAAGACATTGTAGCAGATTTCACATTCATGATTATTGGAGACATTGATCTGAGTTGAGTTACTCGGTATTTCGACATCTGGCGAGTATCTTTCAGTCTGGGTTAATTGCCATAGTTTTTTTTTTTTTTTGCTGGGACCATCCCAGGTCCTTACACGGCCAGGCCGCCTGGGAAAACAAAGTGACCCGGGCGGCCCGGCTGGTAGCCTAGGTTCTTTGCGTATTCATGGTATTGAGATTACAGGGAATTATATATAATATATATAAATAATTGTACCAAAAGATACAATAACTATCTAGGTTACCAGAGTGGCCGGGGACCACTTGCACGGCTGGGCCAAAGAAATAAAAAATAAAAATAGAAAATATTTTTTATTTAAATATTTTACATTCGGCAGAGAATTTGGATGTGACCCTGAGGTTGGGTCACTAAATTAGGGTTCACATGACTATTGTGATTAGAATTTTTAGTGATGAACTTTAGACTTTGATGATAAATTTCGTTGATTTTTTTTTTTTTTTTTTTTTTTTTTTTTAAGTAAGCCATATTCTTCTCTCATCTATCTCATATTCTTTGTCTTTTCTTGGTAGTACGCATCTATCTCATCCTCTCACTAGTCTATTTATAGTAGGGGGGAACACCAACCAACTCGGATCTCTCCCCAGCCCACGGGGTAGGTTTGCACCACAGCTGTGGTGCGAGAGCAAGGTTGTACCAGTTCCTCATCACGGTGACGAGGGGTGGGCAGGTATTGCCGATGGGGGAAATAGGCGGTGCTAGCGCCGAGCAATGGTCAGTCACTGCACCTCCCCCTACCCTCCCCCAACCCCACATGGCGGTGTCTAATGGCCAATATTGTCGCTGCATAGCAGCCAACAACATCAGCCAAGGTCCTGCCAATGCTGGTTTGGGGGGCCAACGGGTTATCTCTAGCTGGTAGAACACCAAGCTTGCCCAGGCACATCCATGAGGCCAATGGGATTGCACCCACGACCTCCTGAATGCAACTTCTGTGCTTTACCAACTGAGCCAGGCCCGCAGGCGTAGGGGCTGTGGAGTTGGCTGCAGGGTGAAATCTAGTGGTACCCTCGATGTGCTGGGCCTTAGCTTATTTTGTGAGGGACGCTGGGCCCGGTTCCCAGCTTTTATTAAAAAAGAAAAAAGGATACAGCATATAGAAAACTCAAAAAAAAAAAAAAAAAAAAGTTGTTCAGTCGTTTTTTCTGCATAACATAATTTTGTTTCAGAATTTTTGGATTTTGTTTTCGCTGGTCCCTTCTATGGTCTTTGACGATATATAATGGGGATACCAACTTCTTGATGAAGAACAAGGCCATCTGCTGTATGTAGATATGTAATATGGGACTTCTCCTTTTTTTGCAGACAAGAGTTTTGTCCTGGGTGGTCTTGTCCCGTCGTTTGGCCGGTGAAGGAGGGCGGGTGCTTGCATGTGGGACTTGTCATCTAGGATCTGTTTTTGGTGCTGTTGCTTGTTGACCCCTGTTTTGTTGTATTTGGCTGTTCCCTTCCTCTTTTCTTTGCCTCTTTGCCCTTTGGCTTTGTGCAAGTGGGTCGATATGACACACAGGGGTGGGGGCAGCCGCCGCTCAACCTACATCCACGTGGGCGGCCTTGTACGCAAGAGGTTCTGAACAGGGGGAGTTGTAAGGAAGAAGATAAAAAATGAATTGATATCTTTTTTGTTTCCTTTTGTTTTTTCACTTTTGCGCTCTGATATTCATGTGACGATATATATCTATGTATATATGTATACAGGGTAACCGGCGTTCCGGACGGGCCGAACGCCCGAACCCGAACGCCCAAACGTATGGGGCCCCTTGGATGCGTTCGGCCGTTCAGGCCGAACGCGGACCCAAAAAAATAAAAATAAAAATAAAAAAATGTAAGATAAAAAAAACTGAAAAAAAGATATGTTATGAAGAAAAATAAATTAAACAAGATTTGCCTGAACATTATATCCAAATTCCTTACCAAATTTGAAATAAAAATAAAATACGAAAAACAAATACTAATAATAAAAATAACAACAAAAAAAAAAAGAATTAAATTTAGTGAGTGCCCGAGCTCGTTTTCGACACCACCATCTTTGGCGATTTTTCATTTTTGTTTGGCATAGCTAAGTGCCCTGAAAAGTTACAGATGTGTACTTCACATGATGCAAAACCCATTTAAAAAGTTTCAAAAAATAATAAAATTGCTTAGACCCCGAACTAAAGTGAAAACAAAAAGTGAAAAGTGAAACAAAACGTGGGCGACCAGGTTTTGACACCGCCATCTTTGACGATTTTTAATTCTTATTTGGCTGAGCCAAATGACTTGGAAATTTATAGGCATGTACCTCACGTCATAGAGAACTCACAAAAAAACATTCAGGAAAAAAATCTATTTTTAGGCCCTGAAATAATTTTTGGTGGGGGCCGACCTCCGTACGTACAGGCGTCGGGGTCCCATTCGGGGTCCAAACTTTCAAATTTGGTAAGGAATTTTGATGTAATGCTCAGGCAAATCTTGTTTAATTTATTTTTCTTCATAACATATCTGTTTTTTTTTTTTTTTGGGTCCGCGTTTGGCCCGAATGGCCGAACGCATCCCCAAGGGGTCCTATATGTTCGGGTGTTCGGGTTCGGGTGTTCGGCCCGTCCCGAACACCGGTTACCTTGTATATATGTATATTTTTTGTTTTTGTTTTTGTTTTGCCTGGCTGGGCAACTTGCCCCGGACCACTCTGGTAATATATAAATAATTGTACAATAAAATATACAATCAGTATATAAATACTATAAAGTACGATAACATTTAATTATACAATAATAATCACCCTTAATGTACCAGTTTTATACAATAATAATCACCCTTAATGTACCAGTTGACCAAGATGCGCTGGGTAAGGTCTTCGACTTCTCCAAACTGAGGGTCGTTCAGCCTTACCCTTCTTTTTTTTTTTTTTTTTTTTTTTTTTTAAACAGCCATACTTTTGATTTCCTGCTGATAGAACATTGCTTGGAAAAATTTAGATGTCTGTGAGGTATGTCAAATTATCATGAGATTTATTCGAGTTTGAAATTTCTAATTTTTTAATTTGGAAATTGTCAAATTGGAAAGGGAAATGAATGTGTGAGCTGGTATCCGATTCTGATAATTTTGAAAATAGAGAGAAGTGAATAGACGATCCACAATGACCAGATTCATCCGGAGCTTCCGTACGCAGAACCTTCGGACCGGAAGCTCTTCATGATGCTGGTCATTCTGGATACAGAGTTATAAGTAATTATGAGGAATACTTGTCTGATTCGCAAAGTTTTTTCGGACCTTTTGTCCATTTGGCACACCCTGAAGTCCGGATTGTCTCGATCTGGAAAGATCAGGGCATGCTGGATATCAGCACCAGGAAACGTAAGTTATGATGTCCGGATTCTCAATACCTATGAAAGCATTGAAAGGAATGGCATTTATGCTGGTGCTCTTGCAAATCCCCCGTTCCTTGTATGTGTGTGTGTGTGTGTGTGTGTGTGTGTGTGTGTG